CTTCCTGAATTATGGGCCCTGATTGTATGAAAAATAATGTTTTTAGCTTGTTGTAGAGGTCACAATTTTTATCTGATTTAAAAAAAACATGTGAATATATCACCATTACACACTAAGATCTTAGTTTCTTTTGATAATCAAGTATATCCGAACATAACTTCCTGGATTATGGCTCCTGATTGTTCGAAAAATCGCATTTTTAGCTTGCAGAGTCTCGAGAGGTCACAATTTTTTTTTCCGATTTTAAAAACCGTTTAAATATTTCACCATTCCACCGTAATGAAGGTTGAATTCGAAGTTTCGGAAAAATTGAAATGAAACTGCTCGACAAAATGGCCGCTCTTTGTACACAAATTGTGTAAAAGTATGCAATACGAAGGTTGTGGACCCTCTAGAGGTCACAATTTTTATCCGATTCTGATGAAACCTTAAAACTTAAATCATATCCCGAAGATCTCAGTCCCTTTTGATATTTGCGCATTTCAGACCATAACTTTCTGGATTATTAGGGGGGTTGGATGGCTGAATGGTTAGCGTGCGCTCGCTGTATCATAAAGTCTGTCATTGAGTCGACTGTCCAACCTCGTGGGTTTTCTCCGGGTCCTCCGGTTTCCTCCAACTGCTAAAGACCCCTATGCGCAAGCGAATTATTGAAATAAAATTTAAAAACCATATGTTAGTCCCGAAATGACCTAGTTTGTGTCGAGTGGACGTTAAAGCCCATTTCTCTCTCTCTCTCTGGATTATTACCCCTGATTGTACAAAAAATCTGGTATCTTTTTAGCTTGTTCTCTATCCATCCCTTGCAAAATGTGGGCGTATTCTGCCTGGCAGCCGCTGGTTTTAAATCCGATAAAAATTGTGACCTATAGGGACCACAAATTAAAACCGCGATTTTTCGTACAATCAGGGGCCATAATTCAGGAAGTTAAGATCCTATATGCGCGAATATCGAGAGGAACCAAGATCTTTGGGATATAAATATGCATTCCAACTTACATCAAAATCGGATGAAAATTGTGACCTCTAAAGGTTCCACAACCTTGATATACCATATTTTTATAGGCCCACATTTTCATGTGGACGTATATTGTCGTCGCCCCTGTCCGTCCGTCTGTCCACAATTGTTTGGGAACACTCTACAGGCCACAATTTTTATCTGATTTCAATGAAACTTGAAATATAGGTTTATCACCCTAAGATCTTGGTTCCTTTCGATATTCGCATGTATCGGACTGTAACTTCATGGATTATGGTCCCTGATTGTAGCTTGTGAACACTGTAGACAAATGTAAAACATGTACCCTACGATCACGAGGAAAAGGACTTACATGCCAAGAAAGAAACCAAGTTTAAACCCAAACTACACGTTGCCCTTCTAAATACACGATCTTGTCGCAATAAAGTTTTTGACATTGCTGATTTAATTATTGATGACAAAATAGATGTTTTGTTTTTGACAGAGACATGGCTAAAAGCCGAAGGTGACGACTCCAGAATATCTGAACTTACACCTACCGGATATTCCTTTATTAATGCACATAGATCAACTGGTACCGGTGGTGGTATCAGAGTTCGATTTCAATCTTCTCTTTGCATTGAAAGACTACCTAATTACCAAACTTTTAAAACTTTCGAAAGCCTTAACCTAAAAATCAGCTCTTACAACACATGCGTTCATGCGATTTGTTTGTATCGCCCACCCTCATCTAGTAAAAACAGATACAAAATATCTGACTTTAAAGAAGAATTATCTGTTCTTTTATCAACAACATCAAAAACCAATTCTGTTATTTTAGGTGACTTTAATATTCACTATGACAAACCAGATTGCGCTAGCAGTAGGAGGGTAGTCAAGATTTTAGCCTCGCACAACTATAGTCAACACATTCAGCATACCACACACAAATCGGGTCACATTCTTGACTGGATTCTGACCCCAGAGCCATGTACTCTCATTCAAAGTGCATCAGTTACTGATATTCAAATATCAGATCACTATCTCGTTTCAACCCTATGGAATTTTGAAAAACCGAAGTTGCAGCCAGTTACCATTTCGTTTAGGAAGATTAAATCATTAGACAGGGAAGCTTTCAGCAACGACCTGAAGTCTTCAGATCTCCTGTCAAATACACCTATAGAGCTTAACGAACTGTGCGGTAAATTTAATAGCACTTTACTTGCCCTACTTGATAAGCATGCCCCTATTGTGACTAAGAAGGTATATCTCCGGCCTGGCAGGTCTTGGTACAATAAAGATGTTCTCATAGCAAAAGAAGATCGTCGTAAAGCGGAACGAAAATATCGCCATTCTCTGCTAGAAGTCCATCGTCAAATCTACCGAAAAGCAAGAGGTGCATACTCAAAGACAATCATAGATGCAAAATCCGCATACTGCGTCCAAAAGCTAACGGATGAATTTAAGTCTCCCAATCAGTGTCATAATTTTATGAAATCACTACTTGGTACTACAACTGAGATAATTCTACCAAAATCTGACGATGATGACAATCTTGCAAACTCTTTCTGTCAATTCTTTTCATCCAAAATAAATCAAATACGTGAACAATTAGATCACTCCAGTGAAAATGAAGAAGCTGAAGGCATTACACCTTTTTCAGCCACATGTGGAGATTATCTAACATATTTTGAGTCATTCTCTAACGATGAAATTGAAAAACTTATCAAATCATCTAAGAAGACAACTTGTCTACTCGATCCTCTTCCAACAAATATCCTTGTTGAATATCTTGATCTGCTTCTTCCAGTCATTACTCAGATTGTGAACACAAGTCTTAGTACAGGAGTATTTCCTTTAATATATAAAGATGCCGTTGTAAGACCTCTTATTAAGAAAACTTCTCTTAACCGGAATGTGCTTAAGAATTACAGACCCGTCTCAAATTTGTCATTCCTCTCCAAAATCATTGAAAAGGCAATAAACAATCGACTACAGTCCATCGTAGTTTCTCGAAATCTTTTAGACAAATTTCAATCTGCTTACAGACCACATCATAGCACTGAGACAACTATCCTTTGTGTGCTAAATGATCTGCTGCGCTCCGTAGATAGTGGTAAACTTGTGTCCTTGACCCTGTTAGATTTGTCTGCCGCATTCGATACTGTCGATCATGAAATTCTCTTAAGAAGACTTTATCAAACTTTTCACATAACTGGTACGGCCTTACAATGGATTAAATCTTATCTTACTGACAGAAGACAGAAGATCATTATAAACAAATCTCATTCCGAGTTTGCAAACCTTAATTGTGGAGTGCCTCAAGGATCTGTTCTTGGACCGGTATTGTTTATACTGTACACACGATGTCTGGGGGATGTTATAGACCAGTTTGATATAAGCCATTTCTCCTACGCTGATGATACACAGTTAATCAGTAAGTTTAAACAAGACAATGCTCATGATTCCTTTGAAAATACCACTCGCTGCTCCAAAGCTGTTAAATCCTGGATGAATAATAATAAATTGAAGTTAAACGATGAAAAAACAGAAGCAATACTTGTTGGAACACCACAGCGTCTCGCATCAACTCCTGATTCTCGTCTTGTAATTTGCGACTCTAGTATTGAATTTGCAACAAGGGTTAAAAATCTAGGTGTTATATTTGATCCGTCTTTAACAATGGAAAAACAGGTTGATCAGTTATGCCGTGTTTGTAATTTTCATCTCCGTAGTATAGGAAACATTCGTCATCTATTGACTACTGCTGCGTGTCATCTTTTGGTGCGGTCTCTAATTTTTTTCAAGATTGGACTATTGTAATAGTGCCTTGGCTGGAATATCTCAACATTTATTAAAGCGACTTCAAATAATTCAGAACAACTGTGCCAGAATCATCACAAGAACAGCAAAACGTCAACATATAACATATGTCCTTAAATCGCTCCACTGGTTACAAATAGAGGCTCGTATAAACTTTAAAATCTTAACACTGGTCTACAAGTCTCAGCATGATTCAGCTCCATCCTATATCACAGATCTTATGCAGCCTTATGTACCAAACCGACCACTCCGTTCACAGAATAATCTATCACTTGTTGTACCTTCAATTAAATTAAAATCTTTTGGTGATAAAGCCTACAGTGTATATGGTCCACGACTATGGAATGACTTACCTGACAAAATAAAGTGTTCAGAAACAGTTGCTCAATTTCGATCTAGACTTAAGACGCATATGTTCACGATGTATTATCCACAGAAGCCATTAACTTACAGCGCTTAGAGCATGCTCATGGATGGATTAAGCGCTATATAAATGTACATTATTATTATTATTATTAGAGGTCACAATTTTTATCCGATTTCAATGAAACTTGAAATATAGGTTTATCACCCTAAGATCTCGGTTCCTTTCGATAATGGCATGTATCGGACTGTAACTTCATGGAGTATGGCCCAATAGAGGTCACAATACACAATTATGGTCCGATACATGCGAATATCGAGAGGAACCGAGATCTTTGGGAGATAGCCCTATATTTCAAGTTTCTTCAAAATCCGATAAAAATTGTGACCTGTAGAGTAAAAATTAAAAAAAAATGGTACTTTTGCAAAAAAAGTGATTACTACTCCAGATTTCACCGAATCAAAACAACTAAAGTGTCATTGGAAAGCATGAATAATGGACGATCATCTGACATCCAAATGATACAAATACGACGATTAGACAATAGTTATTATTATTATCTCTAATCAATACCATTACTAATTTCGATAATGAGTATATTCTGCTTTGGTTAACCAGGTCGGTATTAAGTAGTTTAGTAGCTCAATGCTTTATAAAAGATAAAGCGGGAAGTAATTAGTGTCATGTTGGGATTACGGTGGGAAACATGAACCTTGCTGTTGAACTATGTGGTTTGTTTTAAAATAAAGATTACCACAAAAAGTATATGTAAAGCTGAAACTTTCAAACTTTCATTACTCAATGCAGTATTTACAATTGATTTCTATAATAGAAAGAGGTTATTTGTATTTGCAGGGTATCATATTATGAGTTAAAATGTGATGATAAGCCGAGTTATAAACAGAAAAGTTCGGGGTTAACAGTTTGTACAGGAACAGGATCTAGTTCATGGTTTTTTCATATCAATCATTTAGACAAAGGTGGTGTCAAGGAAATACTTAGAATAGGTAGGAAACAAAAAGTCTGACAAACTCCTTAATTAGTTTTTTATACGCCCACATGGAAATGTGGACGTACATTGCCGTCGCCCCGTCCGTCCATAATTTCTTGTGAACGCTTTAACGCCGAAAGTTATCATCCGATTGTTTTAAAATTGTTGTTTACATTAATGAGATGAAGAAAACAATTTAATTTCAATAATTTCTGTTTATTACGTCTCGTCTGGCCTTTGTTTCACTTTGTTGAACCTTGTGGATGCTCTAGACGTTAAAGTTAATATTCGATTGACTTTAATTTTATACACAGTGTTTAAGGTCATGAGACAAAGAAGCCTATTGATTTTCACTGATTTCCGCTATTTACTGCCACAGTTATGGTCCTTGATTACTTTAAAAAATCTTGTGGATGCCTTAGAGACCATAAGAATCATCTGATTGATTTTATCATAGTAGAAAAATCCCCAGTAACAAACTTGACAAGACTGTGTGGATATAAAAAGATTTTATCCAGGACGCGTTTCGGGCGTTCGCCCTTATCAACTGATTGATTTTATATTATACACCATGTTTACGCCTATATATAATCATTTCGATTGACTTTAGATTGATACACAGAGTTTAAGGTCTTGAGACAAACAAGTATATTGATTTTCAATGATTTTTGGTAACGTGAACAGCTAAATCCATGTTATTAAATGTTTCGTATACTAAACGTTAGCATGGGGCAGAACTAAAAGCCAAACAAATTCTAATGATTTTCTGACATTTACTTAATGAGTTGTTACTCTTAATCAGATTTTAGTGTATTATAAATGTTTCATTACCAACAAAAGTAAAAATATGCGACAACTCATGTTGACTGCCCGGACGCTTTAGCTACTGTGGCCGTATGTATCGTTGCCTGGCACCCTATCTTTAACGAATCAGGGAAGCAAATTATAAATGATTTGGAAACTTGCCATTTTGGAGTTTGATCTGAAGTCTGTTTGCTTACTAATGTTTGCTTTGTTTTTATACGCCCACAACGTCCGACGTCCACAACATGGACGCTCTAGAGGCTAAACTTAATATCCGATTGACTTTAAATTTATACACACTGTTTAAGGTCATGAGATGAAGAAGCCTATTGATTTTCAGCGATTTCCGATAATTACTGCTAGAGTTATGGCCCTTGATCACTTCAAAATATTTTGTGGACGCTCTAGAGGCCAAAGTTTATTTCCGATTGCCTTTAAATTTATACATAGTGTTTAAGGTCTTGAGACAAACAAGTATATTGATTTTCAATGAATTTTGATAACTTGAACAGCTAAATCCATGATATTAAATGTTTCGTATACCAAATGTTAGCATGGGGCAGAACTTTATAAAAACCAAACAAATTCTAATTATTTTCTGATAATTACTTCATGAGTTGTTACTCTTAATCAGATTTTAGTGTATTATAAATTTTTCATTACCGAAAGAAAGTAAAAATATGCGACAACTCTTGTTGACTGCCCGGACGATTTAGCTGCTGTGGGCGTATGTTTTGTTGCCTGGCAACCTATCTTTTACTTAAATTGTTTCATTTTGAACACAAGTCACATGTATATCTCAAAAGAATGCCCTCTTTGGAAAACAAACCAACGCATAATTAAATTGACACTTTTGACGAAACTTAGAATATAGGTCTTATCTCCCAAAGATCCTGGTTCCTTTCGATAATGGCATCAGTCGAACCATAACTTCATGGTTTATGGCTCCTGATTGTATGAAAAATCATGTTTTTAGCTTGTGGTCCCTCTAGAGGTAACAATTTTTATCCGGACATTTCAGATTTTCGGCCGGACAAATACTTTATAAAGTATATTATACCAAAAAACTGTTGAAATTTTCTATGTTTATATATATTATTAATAATATATTATTAATAAAATCAATTGATGACTCACAACCTGGAGTTTTAAGTTTTTATATGTATATGCAATACAGTTTTATAGTTCATATAATAATGTGATTAATCTATTTGGTGGGGCTGGGGACTAAATCCTAAAAACTCTGATTCAGATTCATAGTTAAATAAAGAATAGACATCTTGAGTTGTCGTAAATGGTTCAGAATCTGCCAAGTCATTTTTGATCCACTTGTCTACGGTTCTTGTTTGTAATTTTCGAACTAGTGACGGCAGTGGCCCCCGTTTAGAAGTGTCTTTATGAGAGACATTAGACACAGTACCAGTCTTTGTATTTTCTGGAACGGTCCCACTAGCCGGGATATCCGTGTCCGAGGGTTGGGAAAAGTAAGAAGTTACTTTATTCGACATGTTTTCAAGGCTCTTCTATTTACATTCACACCGGAAGTGTCCAACAAAGTGAGATATTTTCGTATAAAAAGTCTGTCCGTAATTACATCTATAGTTAACTTGAAAAATTTTTTGTAAACTAAATTAAAATATTATTACTTTTATTACTAATAATTCATATAATTACATGTCGAGTTAGGTGTGATTTAGAGCTAATCATATACGAATGTATGAAAGTAACGCAAAGCTAGCTACGAGACTCAAATAACCAATGTAAAAGAGACGATTCTCAATATTATTCATTATTTTATTTTCACACGGCCGAGAGATACATGATAAATAGTAATATTTTTACTATGACTCAGGTCGTTGATACAACCAGCGTAAAAGAGCCGATTCTAAAAATTATTGATTATTTTATCTGCATGCGACCGAGATATAAATAGTAACATTTTCACTATGATTCGGGTCATTGATATTTTTGGGCCTGGATTTTTCGAGTCTAATAATAATTAGCGATCGACTCGAATTCGCGAATTGAAATTAATATTTTTGGCTTAATGTTTTACAAAAACACGGTCGGACAATTATGTCCGGATGAAAGGCAATTTGGCCTGTCAAAAGGGGTCAATTCGCCCGGACATTATCCATGTCCAGCCGCTTATTTCAGTGCTTGGTTACACCCTAATGATAGCTCAGTTCGAATTTCCTGAAAAACGGACCAAAACTGCCGGACGAAATGGCCGCCCCTCGTACAGAAATTGTGTATCGGATGGTAACTTACTGAATTATGGCCCTTGATTATACGAAAAATCGCATTTTTAGCTAGTGGTCCCTCTAGAGGTCACAATTTTCATCAGATTTAAAAAAAACCGTTTGAATATACCTGTATCATGTTACACCCTCATGATGCCTCTTGTCATATTAAAGTCATTTCATATTTTATTCTCTTCATTTTATAAAGTACTATATCAATCTAAGCAGAAATGTGGACGTATATTGCATTAGTGATGCTCTTGTTTTTAGGTTTTATGGCAAAGTAGCATTCGAACCCTATCACTCACCTGTAATTCGATTGCAGATTCGTAATTTACACAAGAAATTCTTTAAGACTACCAAATTTGAACTGTATATCTTCTATAGAAAGGTAAAAGCAAGATATTTGAAACTCGACCACAAATTTTGCACAGTTTCTAGTTTTTATACGCCCACATGGAAATGTGGACATATATATTGCCGTCGCCCACATCCGTCCACATTTTCAAGTGAACGCCAAAAGTTTTCATCAAGTTGTTTTAAAATTGATATATGTTGTTTACATTAGTAAGATGAAGAATCCTATTTAATTTCAATAATTTTGTTTATGACTTCTAGAGTTATGGCCCTTGTTTCACTTTGTTTAACCTTGAGAACGCTCTAATGCCAAAAGTTATCACCCAATCTTTGTGAAATTTATATGCATTATTTAAATTAGTGAAACGAAGAAGCCAACTTAATTTCGACAATTTCTGTTCATTATGTCTGGAGTTATGGCCCTTGTTTCACTTTATTGAACCTTGTGAATGCTCTAACGCCAAAAGTTATCATCTAATCCTTCTGAAATTTATATGCATTATTTAAATAAGTGAAATAAAGAAGCCTGTTGAATTTTAGCCATTTCCATTTATTAAAACAAACCCCGATATTATCGTCAAAAAAGCAGACAAGGGCTCAGCTGTTGTAATCCTCAACAAATCCGATTCTTGAAGCCAATAGACAACTTTTTAACACTGCCTTTTACTTGCCACTGGATGAGGACCCCACCCATGAATTCAACAATGAAATCATACTTTTCCTAACTAAAATCTATCAAGCGGGACATATTACGGAAAAACTCCTAAAAGGCCTCAACATAGACGACCCCAAACCAGGTCGCTTCTACCTTTTACCCAAAATACTCAAATCCTGTGAATCTGGAAAAGGCCCAGGCAGACCTATTGTCAGCGTGAATGGAACCCCCACGGAATTCATTAGCAGTTTCATACATGAACGTATAAAACATTTCGTCCCTCTATACCCTAGCTACATCAGAGACACCACACATTTTATTCAAAAATTAGAAGACACTGACCTCACTCTAGAAACCGATGTCATTCTTGTCACTATGGATGTCACCTCCCTCTACACTAATATTCCTACCAACGAAGGCTTAAGAGCAGTCGCTAAAAGCATTCTTACACATAAACCTAATTGGGGAATCCACCCCACATACCTTATCACACTCTTAAAACTTGTACTTACAAAAAACAATTTCGTTTTCAATAATCAACATTACCTCCAGATAGGCGGTACCAGCATGGGGACCAAAGTAGCCCCTAGCTTTGCTTGTGTGTTCCTTAGCGAATTAGAACAAATTATGTTAGACAGAGTACCTTTCAAACCTGTGGTCTTTGTCCGGTATATAGATTACATCTTTCTTATCTGGACACATGGTAAGTCTAAACTTTTAGACTTCCTCCAACATATGAACACCTTCCATAAAACCATTAAGAGTGTATCCGCGAGAAGACCATGCAAAAATCGCAAAAAGTGCTAAGATGGGGGGTCGGAAGTTTTTGATCAAACTTATGGGATGACACCCCCTAGGGGCAAGAGGTAACATGCTGAAGTGGTTACAGTCTGATGTCGCTCTAAAGGACTGTACAGGAATTATTCATTTTATGGGTAAAATTGCGGTTTTCACATG